TATATCCTTTTGGTTTTCGATTTTTGTTTTCAATTTGTGATTTCACCAATAGACATATAGTTGGTGAGCAGTATTTTTCACAGACTTTCAGACAGGTCATGATGGAATAATCTTCAGCTAGTTCAGGATTACAACTTATTACTGACTCCAGTAATAAGTTCCAGTAATAAGTGTTCCGTGTTGTGAGTTTTGCTAATATACTTTGACTAGTGATTATCACTTGCTGTAGTTTTAATTTTTCAATTGCAATGGACTACTTTTTAACTGCAAAACGAAAAATACTTAAATGTTCAATAAAAAACTGCAAAAGTTTAGAAGTAGATCCGGCATTAGTAAGTCATTTTTCTTTTCCTAAGGATCCTTCTAGGTAAGTAATTTGTTTAGCATTTATAAAATATATTTCAATTAATTGAAATATTAAATTATTATTTATTGTATAGGTGTGAAGTTTGGATTGACAAATGTGGATTGTCCCATCTCAAAGGAATTGATGCAGCAGTTTTGAACAAAAATTATCGGTTGTGTTCATTGCATTTTGAAAACTGTATGTTTGAAATGAAAAACAGAACCGTCTTAGACCTGATGCTATTCCAACGTTATTTGAAGATGCACTATTAAACAAAGAGGAACAGGCTGTTGAAACTATTGCTGATAATGATAATGAAACAGTAGAGTGCTTGCCATCATGTTCAACACCTGGTATGTTTTTACTTATAACTTTAGCTATTTTTAAAATAATTTATAAATACTTAATTAGACTGATTATTATATTATAATACTATTTAATTTTTTATTACAATATCTATTTAATTTTTATTTTAGATACATCCTCTGCCTATTCAACGATATCTGTGTCGGATGTATCCACTTCGACATCAGTAGAAATGAGTTCTACCCATTGTCAAACTCCATCATCTCTAACAGATCTAACTCCACGGAAAATGTCACTTAGGAAAGAGCTCTTCGCAGAAACAAAAAGAAGAAAAGAACTGGAGTCAGTAATAAGTTGTAATCCTGAACTAGCTGAAGATTATTCCATCATGACCTGTCTGAAAGTCTGTGAAAAATACTGCTCACCAACTATATGTCTATTGGTGAAATCACAAATTGAAAACAAAAATCGAAAACCAAAAGGATATAGGTATTCAAATGAAATCAAATAATTAGCTCTTAATATATAAAATATTAAAATAGGAAATTGTCTATTTTAACTCATCTATAAATTATTTATTAATGTATATGATATTTGTAAATTATTGTAATATATGTTTTAAATAAATTTAATATTATGTGGATATTGAATAATTTTTTTTTTCCTAAATAAGTCTTTATTAAATATACATAAAATAAAAAATATATTAAACAAACTAATTACACATAATGAAAACATTAATTGAAAGTTTTAAAATGGTGTTATATGTTTAGAAATAATAATAAAATAAATCCAAAAAATTTACTATGCAAATTTTCTAAAATAATTAGCATGTAAATAATACATTTAGAGTTCAAATCAACCGCCGATGTACAATTATTGTACAGTACAATGAATTATATGCATA